AAGAAAATAGAACTTTTATTGGCTTCATTGGACCTTTGGAACATTGTTGATGAAAGTGAAGAGCCTGCTAGTCATGATGTTGATGTGAAGGTAAAGAAGGAGTACAAACAATATAAAAGGAAGGCTTTTGGCACAATTGCAATAAATCTTGATGATGCCAATTATTCACATGTAATTGCTTGTAATAGACTAGCGGAAGCATGGAAGACTCTTTACAACATCGATGAGAGTAGAAACCTTGTTAATATTCTATAGACAAGGAAGAAGTTCTTAACGGTAAAGATAGAAGAAAGAGATGCCCTCATGACTCATTTCAATAAGGTAAAAGCACTTACAAACCAACTAGCAATTGTTGACATACCAGTTGATAATAGAGAAATTGTATTCACATTACTCATGAGCCTTCTCGAGTCCTACAACTACCTCATTGTGGCATTGAAGTCTATCAACATGAAGGAGCTTACCATGAATTATGTCACATCAAGACTTGCATATGAAATAACGAAGAGAAAAGAAAAGGAGCTTCAAAGTGATGCTTCGGCTCTATTCTCAAGACAATACAAAAGTAGCTTTCCACACGAAGGTGATAATTCAAAAAGCAACATAAAGAATTATTATATTTGTAAAAAAATAGGTCATTTTATTAGAAATTGCTACAAGGCTAAGAGAAGAAATAGGAAAAATACAAATAATATTAGTGATAGTTTTGGTGGAGATGATTATGCTTTAATGGCAAGTGAAGGAGCTTCCATGGCTATCATGTCTAAGTGGATTATAGATTCGGGTGCTACTAAGCACATGACACCATACAAGTATTCATTTAATACTTATGAAGCAATTCCAGAAACAAAAGTATAGTTGGAAGATAATGGCATCGTGCAAGCCATTGGAATTGGCTCCATTGTGGTGGAAATTATGGTGAAGGACCAAATCAAGAGGATCAGATTGAAAGAAGTCTTACATGTGCCAAAGATAAAGAAGAACCTTCTTTTGGTAAGCAAACTTATATCAGATGGTTTTAAAGTTCAATTTGACATGGATGGATGTTTTGTAAAGACATTGAGTGGACAACATGTTGCCTAAGGCCTTAGAGATGGCAAGCTCTATTTCATCAATTGTAAGAAGGTGAATGAAGTTGAAGTAGCAACATATGCTGATTTTTCACAAAATCAAGACAAGTTTGACATTTGGCATCAACGACTTGGTCATTTGAATGCCAAAAGCATGAAGGAGCTCCAATCTATGATAAATAGCTTGGATCTTGGTCAATTCAACTACAATGCTATAAGACTTGCTTGTGAAGATTGTATCCAAGACAAATAGCAAAGGGCTTCATTTCCAAGTGGAATTGCGATATATACAAGCAAATTATTGGAGATGGTTCATTCTGATATTTTTGGACCAATGAAGAGACCATCAATTAGAGGAGCAAGGTATTTTGTGACATTTATTGATGATTTTTCAAGAAAGGTGTAAATATACATCATTAAAGCCAAGACTAAGTATTTCTCAAGGTTTAAAGAATTGAAGGCACTTATAGAGAAGCAATGTGAGTGCAAGATGAAAATGTTGTGCATGGACAATGGATGTGAGTATATGTCAAAGCATTTTGATGAATTTTTGAGAAATCAAGGCATTGCAAGAGAAATCTCTATTCCTTACACTCCACAATAAAATGAAGTTGTTGAAAGAATAAATCACACCATTAAAGAGATGGCAAGGAGTATACTTCATGCACAAAACCTTAGGTATGAATATTGGACAGAAGCTATGGTCAATGCAGTGTATAGAAGGAATAGATGTCCAATAAGTGCACTTAGATCAATGACTCCTTAAGAAGCTTGGAGTGGCAAGAAACCTTCTGTTTTGTAGATGAGGATCTTTGGATGCCTTGCTTATATAAAGAAACTAGATTACATGAGGTCCAAACTTGATGCAAAAGGAACAAAATGTATATTTGTTGGATATTGTGAAGGTACCAAAGCATATAGGCTCATGTGTTTAGAAACCAAGAAAATCATTAAAAGTCACGATGTAGAGTTTTTGGAGCACAAAAAAGCTTGTGAGCACTTAGAGATGTATCCAAGTGGGAGTAATGGTGTATTTGTGGACACATCTTTAAAACCTGCAATGAAAGAAGAAGAAAATGATGATAGTGAAGATAGTCGAATTTCAAATCAAGGTGAAGAATCAAAGAAGGTAGATCATGAAGTGCCTACAATTGCTAAAACAAGCAATGAAGACAATCAAGATGTTGAAGATGATGATGGTGATGAGGAGTACCAATCTTTAAGTGTGAAGAGATAAGTTTAAGAGAAAAGAAGATTGCAAGAGCTATTGGAGTGCATGAAGGTAAATCTTCATCAAGTAAAAAGACATATCCTTTAAGAGATCGAAAACAACTTAGTGCATTCTGGAAGAACCACATCTTTCATCAAGTAAGTGAAGAACATACAAATATTGCACTCTTTGCTGATCCATTGAGTTTGTATGATGCAATGAAGTCCACAAATGCTATGAAATAGGAAAATGCTATGGAAGAAGAGTACAAATCACTCATGGACAATAGAACATGGAAATTGACTCAATTTCCACCAAATCGATCTTTAATTGGTTGTAAGTGGGTATTTAGAACCAAAAGGGATGCAATGGGTAATATTGTGAGATACAAGGCTATGTTGCTCGTCAAAGAATATTCATAAGTTGCTGGAGTTGATTTCAATGGGACATTTGCTCCTGTAGCGAAATTCACCACCATTAGAACGATTGTGGCAATTGGGGCAGTAATCGACTTAGAGATGCATCAAATAGATGTGAACATGGCTTTCTTGAATGGAAAGTTGGAAGAAGACATCTACATAGATCAACCTGAAGGATTTGTTAAAGATGGCAAACAAGACCTTGTTTATAAGTTGAAGAAATTCTTATATGGGCTCATGCAATCTCCAAGGGCATGGTACTAACGTTTTGATATATTCTTTGTGAATGAAGGATTTGTAAGGAGTGAAGCTGATCATTCATTATATGTGATGCAATCAAATCAATTCATATTGATTGTCATCTTTTATGTTGATGATTTAATCATCTCAATCAATGCTATGAAGATGATGGATTGGTTGAAGGCAAAGTTAGAAAAAGAATATGATTTGAGTGATTTGTGAGAGCTTCATTATTATTTAGGAGTGGAATTTGTAAGAGATCGTACTAAAAAGACCATTACAGTGAGCCAAAGTAAGTACATTGAAGAGACGTTGAAACGATTCAACATAGAAGAGTGTAAGCCTATTGGAACACCTTTGGAGGCCAATTTGAAGTTGATGAAGCTCATGGAAGAAGAATTTGTTGAAGTTGAAGGACAAATACAAAGTGTTCCATACAAAGTAGCAGTGGGCTCACTAATGTATGCAATGGTTGGCACAAGCGTGGATCTTACATATGTAATAAGTATTGTGAGTCAACACATATCAAAGGCTGGACCAATCCATTCGACAACCATCAAAAGAATCATGAGGTACTTAAAAGGTACATTGAACTTCAAATTATGTCTTGGAAGTGATAACATTACTATGTATGGTTATCCTGATGCGGATTGGTCTGGAGATACAAATGATAAAAGGTCAACAATGGGATATGTATTCTTTAACGGAATGGGAGCAATTTCATGGAATTGCAAAAGACAACCAACAATTGCAAGGTCAACAATAGAAGCAGAGTACATGGCAGCAAGTCATGGTGTAATGGAGGCAATATGGCTAAGACAACTTTTGGAGAACATTGGAGATGTGCAAATGGAAGCAACTCCAATGAAGTGTAACAACCAAGTATGTCTTGTATTTGCAAAGAATCCAAAGCATCATTCAAGAACCAAGCACATTGACATTCAACATCACTTTATAAGAGAGAAGATTGAAATAGGAGTGATTAATATGAAGTATTATGCAATGGAAGACATGCTTGCTATTTTGTTGACAAAGGCATTAATAAAGGATAGGCACCACATGTTAATAAAGGCATTAGGATTGAAAGTCTTATGATCAATAGCAAAGTGGGAGTGTTGAAGTAAAAGTAAAAGTAAAATAAATTACCTTGTAGAAGATATTACCTTAGATAAGTTGCTAATGGTCAAAAGATTGACTCTTGATGTATAGAAAGGGCATCCTATGGATATAGGACGAGGTCAAGGACTAAGAGTCAAAGTCAAGAGAATAAAGTATAAATAAAGGAATATCCAAAGACTACATAAGAATAATTAGTGTTAGGCATAGGATACCTTTGTGGTTAGCAAGATGCTCAAGGATCCAAAGACCATAGGATATCCTCAAGGTACGTTAGATACCAAAGGATCATATATGTAAAAGACAATGAGTGGAAGTTGTCTCGTAGGACAGCAACCACAACCTATAAGTATTGGGTGTTGGAAGTGAGAGATATCTTATTCTATACTCTCTTTGTGTACAACCTTATTGATGCTATATGTTGTGACTTCAAAGTTCTATTTCTTCAATACTATCAACTGGACAACACAATCACGAAAGACTTGATCAATCTACTTACACTCACCAAGGTGTTGCAAATTCTACCCCTCAACATGACAATAAAATGGTGGTAAAATAAAGTAGTAAAATATGTATTATGAATTATATTAAATTAGGCTATTATAGTTTAAAAGCTATTGTCTAGGCAATTAAAACTAAAGTAATAATCCATTTTTGAAAACAAAGATAAGTAAAAAATCCTAGTGCTTGTCACCCTAATAAAAAAACACTTCTAAGTGTTAGAGAAGGTCTATTCTTGCAAAAACTATTAGGTGAAGATAAAATCATGTCCAGATTTCAGATGTTGAAAAGAGAAAGACGTCATGCCAACACAGGAGAGGTTTTTACACAAATCTCACAAACTAGCTTGTACCAGCATCAATCAAGTATGCTCTGTGGTGTGGATACGAAAGGAACGTGTATCCAACAAACTGAACGCTCAAAGCATCCAAATGACATGTAGTATGCAATAAATGAATATAGTAGGCCCTTTCTGGGGCCCTTCACATCGTAAAAAATGAATTCATCTTGAAAATTGGAGATCACAGTGCAAGTCTTTGGTACATAACCCTCTGGGTTATATATCATGAACCAAATGATCTGTCGGAGCATACCACGCTACATACCACTACCCTTAAAAAGAATTGAACCTAATTTTGCTTCCTTCACTCTTACCCAAAATCATCTCTCTAACAGTAATGGGAGAAGTGCCTTCAAAATTGCCTTCAAATATAAAGAGAATGTTCCAGATGACCGAGTTTCAATACGGAATTTTCAAAAGAATCATGCACGAACTCCGAATATTTACCTGGCATATCTTGCTCAGGCACTTCGACGCCTTTTTGTGCAGTCTTCTGATAAAATTTGGCTCAGAACATCCATCATTTGAAGCTAATGTGGAAACCACAGATATTCTAGCAAGGAAGACCGCAGCAAGAGCTCTTCAACGCTATCCATCAACTCAAATGTGGATACCGGACTACCCACGGCGATGCTCCGCCATCCCGGAGCCAGTCCAGTGCATGTAGTTTCGGACTTCGTCGTATAAGACAAGAATAATAGCCGCCCCCGTTCCTCGAAGCAAGTTTGTTACCGCACCTTTGTAGAAAGCCATGACTCCCTCGTTACGGTAGACTTTCTTCCAACAATCCAACGTACTGTTGTAAATGTTCTTCTCAAGGCCCGCCTGCATCATCATTCGTCGTCTCACAGTATCGAGAGGGTAGGAGATGAGACCGGCAGATGTGGTGACTCCCTGAGCTATCATCCATCGCTTCCAGAAGGATAAATATGTGTTTTGTGAAAGGTGCTCTTTCATGGTATCAAACCCGCCGAAGTAGACGCTTCGATGTACTACCATGCCATGAACAGACGCGGGAAATCCTCGATAGACGCCCCGAATTCCATCCTTCCGGTAGATATTTTGCAGGAAATCAGTGAGGCCTTGGAATTGTCGGTTGCTTCCACGGCCGATGTCGGCTGCAATGCGTGTATGTGCAATGTCGAGTGGGTAGACGAAGACCAGGCTCGTGCAACCAGCCATCGCACCTGCGAGGAAATTGGCCGGGGCGTTGCTCAACGTGCCCCCATCCTTAGATCGACCGGAGGTCAATAACACTCGATAAAAGTCCTACACATGCAAATGTTGCAGGAGTGAGCGTGAAGGAAAATAGTCGTGAGACTCGCATGAGTCATCACAGTTGCAGAATAGAGACAATAACGAAAATGTAAAAGAGATCAAACCTTGAAAGCAAAATTGATGATGAGAGAGGGATAGTAACGAAGCACGCTGCTGACGTTGCCGCGCCATAATGACAGGACGCCCTCATTTTTGGCGATCCTCGTGATACAATCCAAAAGGCCTTTATAGCGCGGGTGCTTACCATCCATGACAACCATGTTGCTGTCCTGGGTTTGTAAGAGCAGCTTAGCCCTCTCTACCGGGGCGACAACGGTGTGCGCCATCCCGCCCATCACCGCCCCCACCATCAGGTCCTTGGGAAAGTTGCTCCATGCCAATTTCTTCGCCTCCGTCTCCTTCCCCATCAATAAAGCTTCTTGTCTCGCAAGCTTCCATTCTCTTAAATCCATAGCTCCTCCCTATGCTAATTGCCACTCACTGCTGTTAACAGTGATTCATCTTGTCTCTGGCTCTGATGAACATGTATTGGCTTAATTGCCGAAGTCGACAAAGAGGTCGTCTAGCAGTTCAAAACTGCGATCTCAAGAATAGACCATAAGCTAAAATGGCACAATAGTTTACACTTAGCTCCCTCGATTCAACTCATAAATCTGAGAGATGTAACCTTCCAAATCCTAGCCCTGATTTACCCAGAAGACCACTCAGAAGGTCTTTAGTTCACAGAAGCAGCGCTCCACACTAAGCAAAACAATTCCTGTATGAGGCACCGTTGTTTTAATCCACAAGAAAGTTCTCATCACCAATGAAACATCAAGATGTGGCTCTGATCCTTCCAGACCGCCATTTCCTTCCTCCAACTAAAATCAATCGTCAGAATTCGTCACCAATCTATTGTCAACACGCCCCGCTGCTTTCAACCCGAGCTCGAGGATAGCTACGAAGAAGAAGAAAAAGGATCAGAAACGGCTCTTGCCACCGAAAATCGGACGGTGACTCACCGTACCCAGCAAATTAAATAACGCTTCCCGAGAGCAGATTGCCGCGGGCACACGCTGACAACCTGCCTTTTTAATAGAATACCAAGAAACCCAACACCGCACGGAATGCCACGATAAGGATCCACAGTCGGACAACCCCACAAACGGCAACAACACTCCCACGCTCAGACAACAAACCTCAATGGCGAGAAAGAGCTTACAATGCAAACGAACAAACGAACAACAACACTAAGACTCACGATGGATTTCCTGTGATCACGATGAGCACCAAAAACAAAACCGCGTACGCGAGAGGACGCTGTGGGGTACACAAGAGGAGTGGGAACACACACACACACACACAATAAATAAAATAAAAACGAGTGCGTGTCAGCAACGGCCAGCCGGCGAGCACGCAGACGGTCGGGTCTGGCGTCCCACCCAAGACAAAGACGAGCAACTGGAAAAGGCGTAGAAGACGACCCGAGACGAAATGGAAAGGCTGAAAAAGCAGCGCGGCGATAGCGACGCCATGGCCCAACAACCACCGCGCTCGCCTCCCTCCGTTGACAACAACCCCCCCCCCCCCCCCCCCCCCCCCCCAATTCCTCCCAATCCCTCACAAATCTTCCCTTGCTCTCTCGCACATTCGTGACCACACGGACGGAGCCCTCGACACACGCGATGTCGGACATGACACCCCAGACGCCGACGCCGACGACGACGACGATGACGGGGACGGTGACGGGGATGTGTGTGGTGACTTGGATGATGAGGTGGCGGGGAGGGCGGAGGGACCTCCCAAAATTAGGGTCCCCGGGGGGCTATAGGAACGAATGCATGGATAATCTATCAACCATGTATGGAGATTTGGAGTTGGAATCTTATGGCTCCATTAGGATTGAAAGGGAGCATTAATTAATAAAAACCCATATGATTACATTACAAGTGATTTTTTATATCTTGGTGATTACGTGAGGAGTTTTGAAAAAAGATTGGTTCTTAATTGAAATTTTCTTTTTGTCTATTTTGTCTTTTTTGTCTTTTTTCTCTTTACAAAGGGATGTTTTTTTGGTTGATAGATTGAGTTTGTGTGAGATTGACATATTAGCTTTGATTTTTATTTTTTATTTTATTTGGTGTGGTTTTGATATAATTGTGATATGATTGTAATTGATTTTTGAAATGATTGTGTTTAGTATTTAATGGATTTGAAATATTTTATTTTAATTTCTTGAAAATGAGATCAATTTTTTAATATAATTTATGTAATATTTTTATTTTTGTTCTTATATTTTTTTTTAGTAATATAACCTTTTGATACTATATATTTATTAAGCATTAAAATATCAATAAATTTAAATAAAAATTATATTTATATATCCATATAAGATAAAATCTTCTTCAAAGAAAAAAATCTTCTTCATATATATATATATATATATATATATATATACATGCTTATTTTTATAAATATTTTATATATCTATTATCTTCTTTGTAAATAATTAGCTAATAATATGCCTATTTTTTGTACACTTTTTTCTTTTTTTACTTAAAATAAGTAAATAAAAGTAAAATTATAATAAGTTATCTTGTAGATGATATTACTTTTGATAAGTTCTAATGGTCAAAGAATTGGTTCTTGGTATGTAAGAAGACTAAGAGACAAGGTAAATGAATAGGCAAAGAATCTTAAAGGTATACAAGATATACTATATCTTGTAAAGGCATATCTTTAGAGTATCACAAACTCACATATTTACTCTAATAATTACCATAATATTATATCATCTTTATGTAATTATTTAGTCTTTTTGAGTGACACAAGAGTGTGTCAAGGACAAGAACTCGATGAAAAAACAATCCAGACAAGTGAGCCTTCACTCAAAGAAAGGTAACAAAATATAAATAAATAAGTATGTATATTGAAAGAGAAACTAGAATGGCTATTGCCAAAAGACAAGAAAACTAGAGACCCTTGAAACTAGACTAGAAGCAAGAAAGGAGTTGACAAGAGTGAAGAAGGCTTCACTCTTGTCTCTATATATACTATCTAACTAGGGGCTACGTGGCGACGTTCTATAGGACCTCTAATATGTGTTGACTTTGTAGGACACATGTCTTGACTTACAAGGCAAGTTTTTCTACGTGTGGGCCACATAGTTAGCTTGATCTTCAAGCTATCAACATGTGTGGCACATGGCCAACTTGTTGACCACGTTTCTAATCCAAAAAGTCAATTAAAGACACCTATGAAGTCAAAGCAACGTCTATAAAGCTTCTAAGAAGCTTCTATATTAAATACTATAGAATTAACTTACTTTTACCTATTTGTATATGTAATTATTAGCTTATATGAGTATGTCCGTGACATTACCCCCCCTTCTAGGGACGAGTTCCACGAAGAGCGGTCATCATATGTTGAGGAAATCTATGATGTGACAAATTATATTCGCCACATACTCCGATCTTTGTTCTCTTCGAAGATGATTGATAAGGCCTCTCAACCATCGGTAGTGTCCCATACTAGGGTGGGAAGACCACCCAATTATTTGATCATTGTTGAGGCCTTCATAACTTCCTTCGAGTAGAACATTTAGAACACCATCACGAGTTGTTCCTACCTCTAACAAAATCACCAAACATCGGGAGTCCCTTCCCAAATCGTGATACCAAACGCGTTGTATCTCGCCATCTATTCGAGGAAGAACTTGTCATTCTTGAAGATCTTCATCATGATTGCGTCGTCTTGAAGGTTGTGACAATCATAATGTCTCGTCCAATAGGTCAACAAATAAAGGCTCTTGAGTCGAATCCACTGGTTGTTGATTCTCCATCTTTTGAGCGTCACAACTACAAAGAAGCTACAAACAAGGATTGAAAGTAGAATGTTATCTTGCCTAGATGTTGTTTCTTTTATAAAGAAGGTTTTTATCTTGATTTTGATAGATGTCGTCGATGAAAAGCCTCCACCGCCTTTGCTACATTTACAAGATTCTTTATTGGCTCTCATGTGCGTTCACTAATATCATATCCGTGCCAATGGACAAGATATTCCAATTTATTTTGGTGCTGCCTTGAATCTAAGACTTCTTCTACTTCAAACTCTTCATTATTGTTCACTTCTATAGGAGGAGGTGGAGCTTGTCGTCTTTTTGGTATGTCCACTGTCTTGTATAGTTCAAGAAGAGACATGTGGAATACTAGATGGATTTTTATTGACTTCGATAGATGTAAACAATATGCAATTGGATTGATTTGTATAAAAATAAAAAATGGTCTCAGCCTTCGATAGTCCAACTTGTCACAAGGACAAGTGGTCTTGATATTGCGACAAAGTAGCCATACCTTATTATCCAAGAGGAATGGTGGTTGTTTCTTTCAATAGACATCCGCATTGACCTTTTGTTTTTCTTGAGCCTCTTTTAACTGCACCTTCATCATTGCATGTAGCTTTGATAAATGAATCGCCAAATCTTTCGCAGCAGGATTATCAACTTTTGAAAAGTCAAAAGAATCAAGTTGTGGATGATAACCATAATTAGCAAAGAAAGGTGTTTGTTTTGTAGAAGAATATACCGTGTTATTGTAAGCAAACTCTGTCAATGGCAAAAGAGTTGTCCAATCATCTTGTTGGTAGTTAATGGTACATCTTAAATATTATTCCAAAACTTAATTAACACGCTCCGTTTGTCCATCAGTTTGAGAATGGAATGCCAAAGATAGTTTTATATCCACTTTAAGAATCTTGAAAAGAGTCCGCCAAAATCTTGACATAAATTGAGTTCCCCTATCTGATATAATATCCTTGGGTAATCCATGATAGCGATAGATATTGTCAAGAAAGAGCTTAACTGTTTCTTCACTTGTGATAGATTTTGTACATGGTACAAAATGTGCCATCTTAGTAAAACGATCTACTATCACGAATATAGAGTCATAAGAACCTGAGATTGGAAGATCCGTGATGAAGTCCATAGAAACAGAAGACCATGGTTGTTTTGGAATGGGTAATGGCTGAAGAAGTCCAAAAGATCGATGACGAGGAGTTTTTGATCTTGAGCAAATATCACATGATTGTACAAAATCTTTGACTACCTTCCACATTTGATGCCACCAAAAATCCATAGATATCAGCTCCAAAGTCTTATTATATCCAGGTATAGAGTAGGTTGTTCTTGAATTCAAATTTAGAGGGATCATGAGATTTAGAAGAATTATTCTTGATATCATGAACAAGAGGGTTTGAAGACATACTTAATTGAACTTGCTTAAGAAAAGTTAAATCAACAATCAATGTTGATTTTATTGCTCGAAGATGATATTGCTCTAGTTTCAAGAGAACCGTTCTTTATTGCTCAAAAGCTGCATCTCCTTCTTTTGGTGCAAGATAAGAACGTCTAGACAAGGCATCGAACAAACCTTGTTGTTTTTCTTGCCGATAAGTGATGATGAACTCGAATCTTGATAAAGAAATGCTCTAACGAGCTTGATGACGATTTAATATGCGTGTTGATATAAAATATTTGAGGTTCTTGTGATTCGTATATACGGTGACTGGACTGGAAGCGCCTTCTAGATAATGATGCCATTCTTGAAAAGAATCCACAATTGCAAGAAGTTCTTTGTCGTGGATCTCATAATTGATTTCTGTTGCTAAGAATTTTTTTGAATGAAAGGCTACTGGATGAAGTTTGTTATCTATTCCTATTTGTGATAAAACCACACCTAGAGCAAAGTTTGATGCATCTGTTTCCATAAAGAATGCTTTGGAAAAATCAACACGATACAAGATTGGTACAGAAACAAATGCTGTCTTCAAAGATTCAAAAGCAACTTCCGCTTCTTGATTCCATTGGAGTTTATCTTTACAAGTCAAATCTGTAAGTGGAGCTGCAACTCAAGAGAAGTCTTTGATGAAGATTCGATAGTAGTTGGCAAATCTCAAAAAACATTAGACATCTCTTACCGTTTTTGGGATCTTCTAATCTATAGTAGTTTGAACTTTCTTAGGATCCATCATAAGTCTATCATTTGAAATGATGTAACCTAAGAAATCTACTTGAGTAGTGTGGAATATATACTTTTCTATCTTGGCATAGAGTCCTGCATCTCTTAATTTTTGTAACACACGACGAACATAAAGTTCATGTTCTTCTGGATTCTTAGAATAGATCAAGATGTCGTTTAGATAACAGACCATAAAATCGTCCAAAAACTCTCAAAAAACATCATTCATTAGATGTTGAAAAGCTGTTGGTGCATTTGTAAGTCTAAAAGGCATGATATTGTATTTAAAATGTCCATACCTAGTTCGAAACATAGTCTTCCATTCATCTCTTTTTTTGATGCATACTAGATTGTATGCTCCCCGAAGATCTATTTTTGTATAGATCTTAGCTTAATTCAGTTGATCAAGAAGTCCAGATATTAAAGGTAGTGGAAACTTGTTCTTCATGGTAATCTTCTTGAGTCCTCGATAATCAACACACATCTGCAATGATCCATCTTTTTTCTTCACAAATAGAATTAGAGCTCCTGCCAAAGATTTAGAATGGCGTATG